ACAGGGTTTTGATGAAACAACGTAAGTTGTTACTTAACGTGCCCGCGTATTTCATTTGTGTTTTTGCTAATTTTCCTTATTTAAAAAAAAATCTGGACATGTCTCGCTACCCCCTCCCCCCCAGAAAGGGCATCTCGCACCACAGGTTCACAGCCGTAGAGTAATAAAACGAAAAATAAAATCGAACATCGCCTACGTTTCGGAAATGGACCTTCTTCGACCACCCACGTTGCGACGCGTTACATTGTTGTCTGTTCACACGACACGCGGTCAAATCCACGGCAAACTTAGTCACACAAACCTGTGACTACGCGCAAACTGAAATAATGAAGACTCCTCTCGCAACTTGATTATCGTTCATAATAAATGGGTTTTTTGGGGGGTTAGATCGCGTTATTTATAAATGTGTCGTAACCCTCCACCACCCGACACGGCCAATCAGCAGAAAAAAGCGTCACGTTGACAAAAGACAAAATAGTTCACTACTTTAGCCCACCGGTGTGTTGAAGAGTGAATCCACAACATTTACAGTTTGACTGGATTCGCTCTTCAACACACCGGTGGGCTAAAGTAGTGAACGATTTTGTCTTTTGTCAACGTGACACTTTTTTTCTGCTGATTGGCCGTGTCAAGTGGTGGAGGGCTACGACAGATTTATAAATAACGCGATCTAACCCCCCCCCCCCCCCCCAAAAAAAAAACCTTTATTGTGAATAATATAGGTAGCGAAAGCCTCCCACGTGTTAAATTGATTATCGTCACTCTACCTCCCCTGCATGAACGTCGAACTTCTTTCGCACCGTACGTAGCCAACCGTGCTAATCGGAGGTGCGTCTCTGTATGTCATGGTTCGCGCGACTCCGCTACCTTAGAAAGGCTCAACGAATACAGTGAGCCTTCATTGAATGTCGTGATGACGATGCGTGTACGTTGACCTTCGTTCGCACCGTACGTAGCCAACCGTGATAATCGGAGGCGATGATAACCAACGTGGTGGTGGTGGTGGTGGTGATGATTGATGATGGTGATTATACGTTGGTAAAAAAATTCCGATAAATAATTCACGCAATAGGCCTCTGCATCGCTTCGTTCGCATTATAAGCTGCAGCCTTTCACGTCTCCACGTTTTTTTAAATAAAACGCTGCTGCGGTGTGCGTCTTACTTCCAGGATTCCCGGAGCGTCTGACCACGCGGAGGGAGCAGCTCTCGTTCAGTTTACGAGACAGCGCTCTCGAGAGCGCGCGGTGGACGCGTTCCGCGATTGGCAACGGAGAGACATCGCGCAGCGCGATCGGCAACGGTTGGCCTACGTGCGTGCGGTGCGAAAGAAGTTCTGCATGCGCGCACGCGAATCTGGCTGCCGCCTGATGATGCCCGTTGTAATTACTGGCGAAACGTCGTACTCGGATGGTAAATGTTGTGTGGTTACTCTCCAACGCACCGGTGCTGCTGTACCGGTAACGAGTTCTGTTGACGTGGCAGACCTCCACTAATTGTCGGGTTGGTGGCGGGTTTAACGACGCATTTATATTTACGCGGTCTAACCAATTAAAAAAAACTACATTACGGATGCATGCATACTTAGTTTTCATCACGTGCAGCTCTTTTGGAAATCCACTGCTGGATGAACGCCTCCCCCGTTCCTGCGTTAGTCACGGAAATTCGTTTGCTTCGTCAAGAGAGTTCAACATATACGCACCGTACGGTTCACATACGCGTCGGTGGAGCGGTGGCGCAGTGGTTAGCGCACTGCTCCCACGAACCCAGTCACCCAAGTTCGTGTCCAGGCCACGGCTAACATCGGCGGCGAGCGACATCTGAACGGTCGTGGACAACTCCCCCACCCCACCTTCCCTTCATCGACCCGCGCTGACCAGCGTGGTGAAGTATGGTCAAGCAAGGCGGTGGTGGCTAGGCACGTGGCCTGTAATACAGCGCTTAGTAGGCAGCCGCGAGGGTTGGTGGGTCACCGCACAGATGGGTGTCGAGGAGGAGCCGTACGCTGGCTCGCCTGGTGGAATGCGGTACAGCAAACCAGCAGACCCCCCTTGTTCCATCTGCACGGGGATATAGCGCACCTCCCTCGCAACGCGTGTGGGGTTTTTTTTCCGGCTAATCACGTTTCCTCCCACGTGTGAACGCTCGTGCATTGGGGGCCGAAAAGACCTTGGCGTCTGTAGATGGCCGCTTGGGTAATCGTAGTCACGGCGTGGCGCCGTTGCTTCCTTCCTGCTGCTCATCCGTGGTTTCTCCCTCCTCCATCCTCGCAGCGTCTCTGAGTCGTGAACTCTCCGTCTCTCTCGCTCTCTCTCTCTACGAGGGCAACGAGCGAGTGCAGGGTAGTCCTCTGCTTGCGATGGAGATGCGTTACGACGACCCCCATAGTAAGTCAAACATATCGTAAGTCGAAGATGGCCCTAGCCTACCCAGGAGTCTTAAAGAATGGTGATGATTTAGCAAAAACAGAGCGATTTACAGTACCGTACTGTATACACGATATACTGTATGTAATTATTAATTACAATACTGTATTGCACGGTAAAATGTGAAGTGTAAAAAAAAAAGGTTCATTCTTAGCCCACCTATACGAACTGCAATTTCATAGAAAGGCGGGAGACGCGTACATACCGGCAGCGTCCCAACGTACAAGTCTCGTACCTCGTACGCCGCTGCGTTTGCCTGCCGCGCGAAATTCAAAATATTTTTACAATTTTGTCGCATCGCCATCGTAAGATCGAAATATCGAAATATCGTAAATCGGAACATCGTAAGTCGGGGCCTATCTGTACTCTACGGCGGCGGTGGTGGCGCGCTACAAATTGACATAACCATTGCAGTGGTTAAAGAGGGTGCTTAATTTTTGTTTTTGACACGTATATGGGAAGATCGTTTTTAGTGGAAAAAAGGAAGCGGATGATAGACTCGACTTAACGCTTTTGTGAAAAGTCACGTAGATAGGTTAAGATTAATTAATAAAAACTACGCCTTTTCGATCGCGAACACATGCGGTCGTCATCTCTCCGCCTGATTTTGTATTTTTTTTTCCATTGTTTATTAACTTGAACCTATCTACGTGACTTTACCGAAAGACTCAAATAATAGGATAATATACACTGTAACATGTGTAACGAGTGTAATGTTAATAGCTTCAAAAAGTTAAAAGGGTCTTCCCACTCGTTCGCCATCGTCGTCAGCACGTGTCCTGGAATATTCTCCATGTGGTCCACAGAGCCCGGAGGCAGGGGCACATTTCTCGAGTTGCTGTTTGCAAATTTCTCCGAAGTGTTCGCATTTTTTTTTTTAAGCACGCTGCATAACGCAATGTCTCTAAGCCACTCGAGAGTTCTGTGATCGAAGCGAATTATCGGCACGGCGAGACGCTTCGACAATAAAGGCGTATCTCATCCACCACCCACCACCCCCACCCCCAGTGTGTTCTTCAAGATGATACAGAAAAGTGTTCGTGTTGAATGAGGGATTGTGCTAAGTGGTGATGGAGAGAGGCTGGAAGGGGGATTTGAAATCACCGTGCAGTCAACGTACTCCTTTGTGGTGTGTGAATACGCGTGTGTGTGTGGGCGTGAACATGTGTGTGCGTGTGAACACGTGTGTGTGTACACGCGTGTGTGTAAACACGTGTGTGTGTGTGTGAACACGCGTGTGTGTGTGAACATGTGCGTGCGTGTAAACACGTGTGTGTATGAACACGTGTGTGTGTGTGTAAACACGCGCGTGTGTGTGTGAACACGCGCGTGTGTGTGAACATGTGTGTGCGTGTAAACACGTGTGTGTGTGCACGCGTGTGTGAACACGCGTGTGAGTAAACGTATTTGTATGAACACGCGTGTGTGTAAACATGTGTGTATATATGAACACGCGCGCGTGTGTGTGAACATATGTGTGCGTGTGAACACGCGTGTGTGTGTGAACACGCGTATGTGTAAAGATGTGTGTGTGTGTGAGAACACGCGTGTGAGTAAACATGTGAGTTTCAACACGCGTGTGAACACATATTTGCACACGTATGTGGGTGTGAACACGCGTGTGTAGTGTAGCGGTTCGCGCGCTGCGATACGAACCCGGCGACACGGGTTCGATTCCCGCTCACGGCCAACACCAGCGACGATTATCTGAACCGGTCCTGAGCTTCCCCTAAGTCAACTCAGCCTCAAATGAGTACCTGGTGCGGTGTGTAAACATCGCCCAGAGGGAGACAAAGGCGGCCGGGCGTGGTGATGGCCACCCACCCCATCGCACGCTGTGTCGGCCTTCATAGGTGCTCGCAAACAGCGCTTGCCCCAACAGTCTTTAAATGGCTATACGGGGGTGTTTGTATGTCCATGTGTACGTTTAGTGAGTGTCTGCTTTTGTGCGTATTCCGAAAATGTTTTTGAGTGTGTAGGTGTTAGTGTGTGCAAACGTTTGTGTGTGCATGCGTATATGTTTGTGTATGGGTTTGTATGTGCGTATGTGCGTCTGTATGCGGTTGCGTGTATGTGTATGTGTGTGGGCTTCTATATGTTTGCGTATGTGTCTGTGCTCGGTTGTGTATTCATGTTCGTGTATGGGTTTGTGTATGGATTTGTATGCGTGTCTACGCACAGTTGTGTTTAGATGTTTGTGTATTTGTGCTTCTGTGTGTGTGTGTTTATGTGGCTGTGTTCGCGTATCTGTGTCTCCGTCTGTGAATTTATGCTGCCGTGTTTGTGTGTCTGTGTCCCTGTGTTCGTGTATCTGTGTCTCCGTCTGTGCATTTATGCTGCCGTGTCTGTGAACGTGGGTCTGCGTTTGTGTTTATGTGTCTGTGTTCGTGTATCTGTGTCTCCGTCTGTGAATTTATGCTGCCGTGTCTGTGTACGTGTGTCTGCGTTTGTGTTTATGTGTCTGTGCTCGTGTATCTGTGTCTCCGTCTGTGAATTTATGCTGCCGTGTCTAGGTACGTGTGTCCGCGTCTGTGTGCCTGTGTCCCTGCGTCCGTGTCCCCGTCTGTGTCGCTCACCTCGGCGTGGTTCGCGTAAAATCCTCCCCACTCCGCGCTGTCCTGCTCCTCCATCTTCACGCGTGAGTGGGCTGGGGACACGCGCAGCATCCCGCCCGCTCGCAGCGTGCACGCGCGCGTCTGTGCGCGTGCGCGCCAACTCCTCCGTGTGTGTGTGTCAGTTGCGGCGGCGACTCTGTGTGTGTGTCAGTTGCGATAAATCCTCTGTGTGTGTGTCAGTTGCGGCAACTCCTCCGTGTGTGTGTGTCAGTTGCGGCGGCGACTCTGTGTGTGTGTCAGTTGCGATAAATCCTCTGTGTGTGTGTCAGTTGCGGCAACTCATCTGTGTGTGTGTGTCAGTTGCGGCAACTCCTCTGTGTGTGTGTGTCAGTTGCGGCAACTCCTCTGTGTGTGTGTGTCAGTTGCGGCAACTCCTCTGTGTGTGTGTGTGTCAGTTGCTGCAACTCCTCTGTGTGTGTGTCAGTCGTGGCGACTCCTCTGTGTGTGTTTGTGTAAGTCGAAGTAACTCCTCTGCGTGTGTGTGTGAAAGGTGTGTATCAGTCTCCGCAACTCGTGTGTGTGTGGAGTGTAGGTGTGTGTGTAGGTGTGTGTTTGTGTAGGTGTGTGTATGGAGTGTAGGTGTGTGTGTGTGGAGTGTAGGTGTGTGTGTGGTGTAGGTGTGTGTGTATGTGGAGTGTAGGTGTGTGTGTGTGTGGAATGTAGGTGTGTGTGTGGAGTCTAGGTGTGTGTGGAGAGTAGGTGTGTGTATGTGTAGAGTGTAGGTGTGTGTGTGGAGTGTAGGTGTGTGTGTGTAGTGTAGGTGTGTGTGTGGTGTAGGTGTGTGTGTATGTGGAGTGTAGGTGTGTGTGTGTGTGGAATGTAGGTGTGTGTGTGTGGAGTCTAGGTGTGTGTGGAGAGTAGGTGTGTGTATGTGTAGAGTGTAGGTGTGTGTGTGGAGTGTAGGTGTGTGTGTGTAGTGTAGGTATGTGTGTGAAGTGTAGGTGTGTGTGTGTGGAGTGTAGGTGTGTGTGGAGTGTAGGTGTTAGTGTGGAGGTGGAGGTGTGTGTATGTGTTGAGTGTAGGTGGGTGTGTGTTTGGAGTGTTGGTGTGTGTGTGAGTGTGTGTGGAGTGTAGGTGTGTGTGTGTGGAGTGTAGGTGTGTGTGTAGTGTAGGTGTGTGTGTGTGGAGTGTAGGTGTGTGTGTGGAGTGTAGGTGTGTGTGTGTTTAGTGTATGTGTGTGCGTGTGTGGGTGTGGAGTGTAGGCGTGTGTGTTTGTGGAGTATAGGTGTGTGTGTGGAGTGTAGGTATGTTTGTGGAGGGTAGGTGTGTGTGGAGTGTAGGTGTGTGTGTGGAGTGTATGTTTGCGTGTGTATGGAGTGTAGGTGTGTGTGTGTGTGTGTAGGGTGTAGGTGTGTGTGTGTGGAGTGTAGGTCTGTGAAGTGTCGGTGTGTCTGTGTGTGAAGTGTAGGTAGGTGTATGTGTGGAGAGTAGGTGTGTGGCTGGAGTGTAGGTGTGTGTGTGTGGAGTGTAGGTGTGTGTGTGGAGTGTAGGTGTGTGTGTGGAGTGTAGGTGTGTGTGTGTGGAGTGTAGGTGTGTGTGGAGTGTAGGTGTGTGTGTGTGGAGGTGTAGGTGTGTGTGTGGAGTGTAGGTGTGTGTGTGTAGTATAGGTGTGTGTGTGGAGTGTAGGTGTGTGTGTGTGTGTAGTGTAGGTGTGTGTGTGTGGAGTGTAGGTGTGTGTGGAGTGTAGGTGTGCGTGTAGAGTGTAGGTGTGTGTGTGTGTGTGTGGAGTGTAGGTGTGTGTGTGTGGAGTGTAGTTGTGTGTGTGTGGAGTGTTGGTGTGTGTGTGTAGGTGTGTGTGTGTGTGGAGTGTAGTTGTGTGTGTGTGTGGAGTGTAGGTGTGTGTATGTGTGTGGAGTGTAGGTGTGTGTGTGGAGTGTAGGTGTGTGTGTGGGTGGTGTGTAGGTGTGTGTGTGGAGTGTAGGTCGGTGCGTGTGTGCGTGGAGTATAGGTGTGTGTGTGTGGAGTGTAGGTGTATGTGTGGAGTATAAGTTTGTGTCTGTATGTGGAGTGTATGTGTGTGTGTGGAGTGTAGGTGTGTGTGTGTGTGGAGAGTGTGTGTGTGTGTGGAGTGTAGGTGTGTTTGTGTGGAGTGTAGGTGTGTGTGGAGTGTAGGTGTGTGTGTGCGGAGTGTGGGTGTGTGTGTAGGTGTGTGTGTGTGGAGTGTAGGTGTGTTTGTGTGGAGTGTAGGTGTGTGTGGAGTGTAGGTGTGTGTGTGCGGAGTGTGGGTGTGTGTGTAGGTGTGTGTGTAGGTGTGTGCGGAGTGTGTGTGTGTATGGAGTGTAGGTGTGTGTGTGGAGTGTAGGTGTGTGTGTGCAGTGTATGTGTGTGGAGTGTAGGTGTGTGTGTGTGGTGTGTAGGTGTGTGTGTGGAGTGTAGGTGTGTGTGCAGTGTATGTGTATGTGTGTGGAGTGTAGGTGTGTGTGTGTGGTGTGTAGGTGTGTGTGTGTGGAGTGTAAGTGTGTGTGTGTGGAGTGTAGGTGTGTGTGTGGAGTGTAGCTGTGTGTGTGTGTGGTGTGAGTCTATAGGTTTTGCCCACAGATACTAGGTGTGTGTGTGAGGTGTGAGTCTATATACTAAGCCGACAGGTGCTAGGTGTGTGTGTGCATGGTGTGAGTCGTTAGACTATGCCGACAGGTACTAGGTGTATGTGTGTGTGAGGTGTGAGTCAATAGACTATACCCACAGGTACATGGTGTGTGTGTGTGCGAACGCTACACTAGACACGTGTACGTATATATCTAGACCGAATCACCGGTCCGTCTTTCCCTCCCCGTGTGTGCGCATGCACGCACGGGCGAAGAGTTCACTAATTGGCCTTAACAGCCGCTCTCTCATTTCACTAGCCCTGCAACATCAGTCGTATACGCGCAGGATGTACTGGGGAGGCAGAGTACTCGTCTGTGAGATGTGCGCGTGTGTGTGTGTGTGCGCGCTGCAGGTGACACAACTCCCTATCTCGACATCGTTTCGCAATTAACCGCACGTTGGAGCCGGTCGTCGGCGTCGAGGCGGCGGTGATGGCGAGTGATGTGTGTGGGTTATCTGTTGAACTTCTTTCCCACCGTACGCGGCAACAAGCAAACGAAAAACAGTGCTCATCGCAAGTGCGACGAGCGTGCCCGAAGGCTTGCAGCGAGCGGTGCGTCAGGTTCTCGTGTCGGTGATGTCAGGCTATGCGTTGGCTGTGTCAAGCTATGGCAAGCATGTCCTATCTGTGCCAGGCTCCGTCAGGGGACTTTGTGTGTGAGTCGTCAAAGCTACGCGTCAGGCTTTGCCAGTCTATGTCATTGGCTATGCCAGTGTACGTCTCGTACGATGTTAGGCTGTCAGTGTCTGTCTCCGGCTATGGCAGCCAATCAAAGCCTGTGCCAGTCTCTGTCTCGGCTACGTCAGGCTCAGGCTATGTGCCAAGCTATGCCAGCTCTACCAGATTACGGGTCAGCTATACCAGGCTATGTGTCAGTCTACGTGAGGCTATGTGAGCCACGCGGCTGGCTTGACTGCACGTGAGCTGAGCGCTGGCTATGAGCGCTGAGGCACCGGCTGTGTGAGCTGAGTCGCTGGCTATGAGCCGCTGGTTACGTGAGCCGAGCGCTGGCTGTCTGAGCTGAGCGCCGGCTATGTGAGCTGAGCACCGGCTATGTGAGCTGAGCACCGGCCACGTGAGTTGAGCGCCGGCTATGTGAGCTGAGTGCTGACTATGTGAGCTGAGCGCCGGCTATGTGAGCTGAGTCGCTGGCTATGTGCTATGTGAGCTGAGCGCCGGCTATGTGAACTGAGTGCTGACTATGCGAGCTGAGCGCCGGCTATGTGAGCTAAGCCGCTGGCTATGTGCTATGTGAGCTGAGCGTCGGCTATGTGAGCTGAGTGCTGACTATGCGAGCTGAGCGCCGGCTGTGTGAGCTGAGTCGCTGGCTATGTGCTATGTGAGCTGAGCGTCGGCTATGTGAGCTGAGTCGCTGGCTATGCGCCGCTGGCTACGTGAGCTGAGCGTGACGTGTCCCGTGTGTCTCTGTGCACCAATTCGGGTTTGTTGTTCGGCGAGAGCTCATCTCAAGAGGAGGCGTCTCGTCGCTGACATCACCACCCCGCTGATCTGTGGCATGTGCCTAGAAACAATTATAATTATCGCGTGTATTATTTTAGCGTCAGTGCCGGATTAAGTTTCTGCGGGGCATGTAGCATATATTACAAAGGGGGCCCTAAATATATTTTTAAAAAACACGTAAATATTAAAAAAACTCGCATAGTAAAGTAATTGTAATTGTTTTCCCATTTGCTACACAGCCAGATAATACGACGAATCGGTAACCTTAAACACCCGGTCGCTCATAAAAGTTGAATGTAGTATAGTACTGTAGTAATAGAGCAAGTGCAGAATCACTGAACCGGCCTTGATAGCTTGAAAGCGTTTAGCGCGGGGCCCTTGAAAGTGCGGGGCCCGTAGCTACTACACGTGGAGCTACTTTTGCTACTACGATTATCCGGCACTGTTTAGCGTTGTTGTTGTTGTTGTTATTATTGTTTACCAGCGAGACGTACCCGGCGTTGTCCGGGCAAAAAAGACAGACACACACATCGACCGACACATATTTACAGACATTGGTGAACTTGCCATGGAAGCGACTTGCGCAGAAAGCGTTTCCAGTTTTGTGTTTTTTTTTCAAAGTATTGGTCCCGGCACGCAATGGGGCCTACGGTTGCGAATAACGCCACGGGGTCTTTAACGTCGCCGCCGCAGTAACGTCACGGCCCAACACGTGGTCGACTTTCGCGACCGATATTATCCACGTGATAGGTGTTTGGCTGCGATCTAAAGCACAACAACAACCTCTGTCATGGGTAATGTTATGGTTCGACACAACGCACCCGGTGGGTTCTAAATCAACCAGGTCACTGTCCTCATCTCCGCAACGGTGACGTTTAGGCACCGCGCGCCACGTGTTCGTTTAAGGCTGAGTCGACCGAAGCAAGGGTCCCCAGACACTTGATGTTAGCCGTGACCCGGAATCGAACTTGGCATTCGCAGATAAATATCGGCGGCGAATGACTTGATAATCTGAACCATTCCTGGGGGGGGGGGGGGGGCACTGACGGTAGCCGTGAGCGATTGA